CCTAGGTGGGGGCGTGGCTAGGTGGCCTCCACCCGCAGGTGCCGCCCTTGCAGCTCCCATTGGCCGCAGTTCCCAGCCAATGGGAGTTGCGGAGCCAGCGCTCAGGACAGGGCGGGATGGGGGCAGCGTGCAAAGCCATGCCTCCACCTAGGAGCAGCAGGGACAGGTCGCCACTTCTGGGGAGCCACCCAAGATGAGCGCCCCCTGGATACAGCACCCTGAAACCCTTCCCGCACGCCACCCCCTGCCCCAAGCCCCCTCCCACACCCAAACTCCCTCCCAGAGCCTGTGCCCTGAACCCCCTCCTGTTCCCCAACCCCCAACTCCCAGCCCCACACCCAAACTCCTTCCCTCTTAGTTAACTGGAATTTTTCACTTACCGGCACCCGCCATTCTCCCAACATCCTGGATAAAAAAGCTTTTACTGTATATGGGCATCATCTTCCAGTTTTTAAAGTACATTTGTAGTGCTCATGGGTTCAGAGAACCTTGAAAATACAAACCCTGGAGACTCAAACCCAGGAAGGCCAATAAGATCCCAACATTGACTATTTCTTAATTAAAAAAAAATTGTCCTGATGTTTTGGGGCCTGGCAGATGTTTGAATGGCTGGGATCGGTAATACGGTACTGCTGCAATTGTGGACTTCAAGTTTGTGGTTAAAAGGAGCCCTGGAGAGGGCTGTGGCTGGGGAACAGCTGACTGGGGAAGCAGCCACAGCTGAGGCCACACCCCAATCAGCTGACTGGGAATGCCCCACAGCTGGCCCTATAAAAGGGCTGTGAGCCAGGCGCTCAAGAGGACTCTTTCTCTAGCCTTTTGAGAGAGCAGGACCTGGCTGCCTGGGAGCTGAGCAGGGTACCTCAGGTGGAGCAGTGCTGGGGAAGGGCAGAGGGTGCTGGGGAGCTCCAGTCTAGCAAAGCCTCAGGCTGCAGGCTGAGTTAAGGGCCCCAAAAATACTGGGGCTGCAGAGGGGCAGCCTACATATAGGCAGAAGCAGCTGGTCCAACCCCCCTTGCCGATGATGAGTGGTTTACAGACTGCCGTCTGCCCCAGGGAGCAGGAGCTAAGTGGAGACTGGCAGTAGCCACTGAGGCAAGGTGGGGATGGGGGGGGGTTCCCCAGGGTGGGAAGACCCAAATTGCGGGTTACTGCTGGGGGCAGGACCTGACATAGAGGGGCACCAGGGTCGGGGAGGGACACTGGGGCCAGCAGCAGGCAAGGCATCAGCCGGCAGAGGGCGTGCCGGAGCTGGAAAAGAGTTAATTCCCTGGACAACCAGCAGGAGGTGCTACACCGGTGAGTCTCACCCTGCCACACATACCATGGTAGAATCCAGACTAATGAGTGACAGTCACCCCAACTTGTAACTTGGGGTGCCCTTTACAATGCCTTGCTGCTAGCACCTCCAGCCTGGACCACTCACAAACAGCCTCCAGCATGTGTCACTCCCAGCTAGGTCTGAGTGTGCCACAGCCAGTCAGACACACCTTGGCTCCTATCAACCTTCAAGCTTACCCTGGGGTGACCCCACCACACTCCCAGTCTCTGATTTCCCCCCAGAACTCGAACACACTGGATCAGATCAAACAAGTGTATTAACTACAAATAGATAGATTTTAAGGGAGGGCAAGTAATGAGGCATAAAAGTCAGAAATGGTTACAAGAAAAATAAAGATAAAACGCTTACTGGTATCTACTTAAACTATCTTAGTTGCAAAGCAAACTTTGTCACCATATGTTCCAGCCGATTACTGACCAAACTCGGGTCAGGACCCCTCCCCCAGAATCCAGTCACTGCTTCCCTTTGTCTCTTCAGGTGCAGAGAAGGGGAGGGAGGGCTTGCGGGGGTTCGTTCCTCCTTTTTATAGTTTCAGTCCCAGTCTTGAAAAACACTTCCAGCTGAGAACCAGGAACCAGAGTCTATGTGGAAGGATATTCCCTGCTCATTGCTGGGTTTTTTCACCTGGGTGAGCGGCCTTTGTTTTCCCTTCCTGGTTGATGACTCTGTTTACTGCTTAAATGCAAATTAAGCAGCACACACATTCCTTGGTTTAGGACAGTCCTGTTTGTCAACTTCTGTTTGGGCAGGGTTGTGAGATTCGGAACACATGTTAATAACATCATACAGGGGAATCTTATAAATTCACATACAATGTTGACCAGCAAATTAGAAGATTTCAAACGATGCCTTACAAGGTGTACCTTATACAAACGTTATTGCAATAGAGTGTAGGGTGTGAACACGCGTATATTCTGTCACAAAGTTACATTAACGGCACTTATTGCTTATGGGATAGGCAGAAATTTTGCAACAAAGAAATTAACTGTTTGATTATCTTAATGAGTAGAGAGGGGAGACTAAAGCAGCAAGTACTTCAAGAATACCGTGAATTTCTAAATCAATTCAATTCAGTCATGTGCATGAACCTGTTTCATTCACTGTCTGCCAATTCTGTGTAATTGCATTTTACTAATATAAATGCTCCTGGGATGTTCGAGTTTGCAGGCTTGATACTTGCAGAAAATGAATTTGAATCACTTTGTCACTTGGCACTGGAAATCTGATTGCAATGGCTAAATTAATCCAGTCAGGGAACAGAACCAGTACCACATGATGCATGTGACTAGTTGCAAGCAAACAGCTTGAATTTCAAATAAGTGTTTGAATACACTTGAGAAAATAATGATCTGTCCATGGACATTCCATAAGAGGAGGCAAAATTCAAAAAAGTTTGCTTTGAATTATTCACTCAAATCTGCCCAGTGCAAGGATACCTGAGTGATTTGTTGGCAGTCAGGAGTTCATTGATAACACTTAACAATTCTATTGCACCTTCCAGCCAAGGATCTCAAAGCATTTTGCAAATGCTAATAGACTAACCTTCGCAGCCCCCTGTGAAGTAGGTAAGAATTTGTGGTCCCCTCTTTACAGATGGGGGTAACTGCCACAGATTTTCTGAGCATGTGATGCACCTTCTCTGTGCTAAAGCAAGGACCAGAAGCCACAACTAAGGGGGGGTTTAATATGCTCTATGCACCCAAGAGGGAAGGAAAGGGTGGTGCAGGGCCTAGGAAGCACTCACTACAAAGACTTTCCTTTAGAGAAGTCGACTGGCTGGGAGCAGAGGCTCTGATCCGAGCTCCCCAATGGGCTGTAGCTGTTCAGAACCCTTCCCCCACGTACCCCGGCAAAGGTGCAGTTCTCACATAACTAGTCACTGCAGACTGGAGGTACACCTCTACCCCGATATAATGCTGTCCTTGGGAGCCAAAAAATCTTACCGCGTTATAAGTGAAACCGCGTTATATCGAACTTGCTTTGATCCACCCGAGTGCGCAGCCCTACCCCCCTGGGAGCACTGCTTTACCGCGTTATATCCGAATTCGTGTTATATCGGGTCGCATTATATCGGGGTAGAGGTGTACTAGAAAATGGAAGGCTGTCTCACGCTTGCTCCCACATCCACGGTATCCGAGCACCTCCCAGCTCTGAATGCACTAAGCTGCATAACACACCCTGTCAAGTCTGTGGCAGAGGGAGGGACTTGAACTCTGGGAGCCTGAAGCCCAAGCTAGAGGTCTAACTGCTCTCCCTCACCTATTTTTTTTCTGTAAAGGGAAAGTGATCAGACCTCTGCTGTGAAACTGAGAGTCTGGAAGTTGGGACAAGGGGCTCTTCCTGTTAGTAATAAATACACCAAACTGGAGGGGCCGAGCCTGGGCTTGTGTGGTAATATTACCGAGGTAGGATTGGTGTCCGAGTACCCCAGGACGAATTGGAAAGGTTATTGACCAGAGGGTGCTCTGAGCTAGTTATCAGCAAATCTGTAAGACGGGTTCCTCGTGGGACATATGCATCCGAAGAAGTGAGGTTTTAACTCACGAAAGCTTATGCCCAAATAAATCTGTTAGTCTTTAAGGTGCCACCAGACTCCTTGTTTTTGTAGATACAGACTAACACGGCTACCCCCTGATACTTGACACCTAAGCAACGGTTTGCTGCCAAAGCACAAACCCGGAACAATTTCATAAAGCTAATCGCCCTGAGTCTTTCAATGAGTCACAATTAAGCAAACGCACTTCTGTGCTACCTTTTGTCAACAGAGCAGATAGGGATGTTGACGCAATCTCTGTGGAGGGAAGACAGTTCTCAGAGCACGGGAAAATGACTCTTGCAGATGGACCCACTAATGGGGGCCGGGAGGGGAAGAGCCAGACAGGTGTGAGACTAGCTGGTAGGTGTTTTCCCAAGTTCGGACCTGAAGGGTCCAGCTTCAAGCACCAGCTTTAAGCTGGCCTCCAGTTCTGCCCATTTTGGCATACACAACTGAGGGAGCATGCAGTCATTCAGCACAAATCATGCCAGTGGGCGCGCACACCGGCTGGCTGGGGCTCAGAAGGCTCCTGACATCCATTCAATGGAAGTGAAGAGCCTAAATGCCTTTGAGGATCTGGGCCTGGGTGCCCAGCTGCCTGGCTTTCAGGTGTGGTGGCTGTCAGGGACCTCCAGAGAGAAAAGCACGAGTTACTGCTGCTTGAGTGTGAGAGCCGGGCTCTAGCTGGGAGCTGTAAGAGACCCCCCTCCTTTGTTGATTGGCACAGCACATGGGCAGAGGGTCACTTGCAGAGCAGGTGCGATCCCATGTTTGCATGCTCAGCCTTCAGTGTGTTTATGGCTTGCCAGGGTGGGAAGCTGCTTCTGCGGGAGCTGTTACAGGGTGCGGGGAACCTACAGCACCCTTTGACTTCACTGGGCATTGTGGGTACTCGGGAGCTCTGAGGCTAAAGCCGTGAGTGGGAAAGACATAGCAGCAGGTCTTGGACAGCTGTGACCCAGGATCTCTTTACTTCTTGCTTTGCTCAAATGCCCGAAAGCTTGTCCTCTGGGGCTGTCAAATGGCTGACTGCTTGGATGGCTCGCTACGCTTCACTTAGCCATCATGCTTAGAGATGTACCCAGTGTGAATGCCTGCATTGATCAGACTTCTGTGCTGTAGGTCACGCCAGCTGGGGCTATTTCTGACACTCAGACCTGTTGACAGTTTCCAAATGTCCCCCACTAGCAAGAGAACCTACCACGCTGCCGGCTAGCTGCTTCACACTTGGTAGAAGAGACAACGGCGGGGGTTGCAAATGAAACTGGTAAAGTATCTTTTTGTTTGGAAAAATATGTAGCTAGCCTGTGCGATAAGCTATGTTCCCCATACTCCCCCTGAAGGTGAGTAGGAATAGGACAGTAGCAATAGGGCAATGAAGGGGTTAATGGAGGCCAGAGGGACCAATTAACCTATTAGGTTGCAAGCTGAGGGAGTTAAGGCTGAGAGGAAGGCCTTAATTAGGAGATGCTCACCTGTGCAGGAAAAGGTGGGGCTTCTGTAAAGCCAGGGAGCTGATAGCAGATAGGAGCTGCAGGGCAGTAGTCTGCAGTCACTCTCAGGGGAGGTGTGTTTGGGGCTATAGAAACTAGTCCAGCTATTCCCTGGGAGGAGGAAGTTTGAGTTGGCAAACCCAAAGGGGGGAGACAGAAGGTATAGGAAAGGCTCAGGGAAAAGGCAGCAAGATTCACAACGGTGCAGACCTTGGTTGTGGATTACAGGGTCCCTGAGCTGGAACCTGAGTAGAGGACAGGCCCAGGGTCCCTTATCAGCCTAGAGGCAGTGAATGGGAAGACTGCCTAAGACTGCTGGTGAGGAAAGACTTGGATATCCTCCAGAGAGTGAGAGACCGGCAGCAGGGCATGCAGTGAGTATGAACCTGGAAAGAGCTAATCCCCAGAGCGGCCAGGAGGAGGTTCTAGCTATGGTATGTGGACCTCATGACAGTCTGAGGAAGTTGTCTTTTGTACCACTTGCAAACAGGCTGAAATTCATGACCATCATGCTACTCACAATGCTCACACACAGAGCAAGGAATGCACATTCCTAGACTGCTGCAGTAGCGATAGGGCATTGACAGAGAAACTCTTATAATGGGCCAATACCTTAATTTAGCAACAGGAAGGCCGTCCAGAGTGTACCAATGACAGAAGGCTTTCAACAGAGGGAAGAGTGAGGGTTGACTGGGTGTCACCTTGAAGACACTGGTTGGCTACTGTTGATTTGCCTGGCATAGGGAAGATGTGTGTGGGAGAGGCTGTGGGTTTTAGTCTAAATTTCCTGGCTCTTGTGGGCATTGATTTGCTTATTTGCTGTTAACAGCCTTAACTACGTAAACTGAAACATACAGAAAACAACATACCTGCAGAGTGCACATGTCCTGCATATTGGACTACAGAACTTTGTGAAACTTAATGAATATAGTCTTTAAAAAATCTGTCCCTTGCTTCATACTTGCCAATTCTTTAGATTTCTAGGTTAAAGTTTGACTCTCAGTAACAAAACTAAAATGTGTCCCCGTGACTCCGTATCAGAGCTGATAACTGCTGAGCGTGCAGAAACAGCAAACATAAATATTTAAGTTTCAAAGGCAGCTAGGTTCAAAGAAATGAGAACTAAAAGCTGTGGGATTCTCGTGCACCCTCTGATGTTTCATAAGGGTTGTACGGTGTTATCAAGGTTTTGTTTGAGGTTATAAAATGTTTCCTACGCTCCAGGTTCAAAGTCCACTTCCAGGAACACCAGTGGAAATTGTGAGCGTCTGAGTGCCTTCTCTGTACCAACCGAAACCTTTTCACACACAACAAGCCAGGCCCTACCTATAAATACTTGTTTAAGGGGCTAAACTAAATCCCAGTGAAGTCAACAGAAAGGCCATAAAAGAACAAGGCAGTAACTTTGTTGGGTGCATCTCTAAGGCTGATGAAATATAGAATTGCTTTAGGCTGGAGCTCTTACAGGGGCATACAGTCCTACCCTCAATTTGATAGCTATGGGAGAATACGCTCTCCTCTGGTGGCACATGACTGTTTGAGTTTGCTTCCTGTTCCTGGCATTTCTGTTCTTTCACTGTTCTTGCCCACATGAAGCTCCAAGCCTTCAGCTGCGTTGCTCTTTGCCAATCTTTAAAACAAAGGGCTCACCCTTGGTGGGCCGGAGCTCGCCCTCTGCTCTTGTTGACGATGAGGGCATGTGTCACATCGCAGGACTGAATCTGAGGAGAGAGCTTGAGAACAATCAGGGAGAAGCTAGAAGAACAAGCAGAGTCCATCCAGTTCTCTTCCATCCCATACTCCATCGTAGGGACATGTAGGGCAACAGTGTTCAGGTGTGTTTGCAGGGAGTGACTGTGGGCTGGTCAGGGCAGACTTTTAGCCAGTTTCTTAAAGGGAATATGAGTCTGATCCAAAGCCTACTGAAGTCAATGGGAGTCTTTCCAGTGGGCTTTGAATCAGGCTCCATAACCTTTGTGGCTGACTTTGGTTTAACCAGTAGAGTCATAGAATTACTGTTTCTGGATTCTGCCCAAGCACAATAGTGCCACTCTTCAGAGGTTCTAAGGAGGAAATCTACCATGGAGGAACAATGAAGAGGCAGAAGGTTATCGACAAAACCAACAGTATCTTCCTAGGAAACTATGCAGGGAGAATGATAGTTCTAAATGCCCGAGATGATGCAATTGGGCATGTTCTCAGAAGTGTAAACACGCAGTACTGCCTCATGATTTACCCTTTTAGATGATCGTGTATGTTGTAATTATCTAAACATCTCTCCTAAAGGGAAATTATTGTTCTCTCAATTTTCTAGGAAAGGAGTAGTCTTGTTGCAGGGAATGAAACTGGCCTGCAAATTGTCATCTAACTGAGGGCTATTAAGTTCCTTAATTTTCTCTTTTCATTGCAGAAATGAAATTGGATACAAAAAGCTCCTCAGAGATTTTGGCATCTGGAACTTGCTGGTAGGGGATCTAATGAACAACACTTAAATTGCCTTAAAGTATCTCTTTTCCCCCTTAAGTTTCAGGAGATTTAAGGTTTCAGAGTAGCAGCCGTGTTAGTCTGTATCCGCAAAAAGAACAGGAGTACTTGTGGCACGTTAGAGACTTACAAATTTGTTAGTCTCTAAGGTGCCACAAGTACTCCTGTTCTTTTTGAGGAGATTTAAGGTTATCCTGAAAGACAGACTCAGTTCTGTTTCCAAAGACATTTTTGTTTGTGTCCATAAGGTTTTCTATCAGTTGTATGATAGGCTCTCTTTGAAAGTCTCCTAGACCTTCCCAAATCTGATTAAGTTGGAAATACTGTCCAGATAGTACAGAAATGCTGTGAGTTTTCTCTCTCTGGCCCTGGCAGAGAGAGAGAGAACCAAAATGTTAAGGCTGTATTTCAAGTGCTCCATATTGGCGTAGCTCTGTTTCCTTGAAGTCAATGTAACTCCCATTGGCTTAAGTGGGAGCAGAGTTGGATCAACAATGGAGTACCTTTGAAAAAAATCAAATGGTTTAACTTTTTGATCCTTCCACATCTCCCTCCATGCCCTAAAAAGTCTGGTTTTGGTTCTGTTTGCGACATCTGATGGATACAACTATACACTTGCCTTATGATTAGTTCATAGCATTAAATAGCTAATAGTAGAGTCTTCTCCCAAAGATACTTGTATACAGTGTAGATACTTGTAGGCGAACTTTTGAATTGAGGTACATAATCCAGGTAGGACATAATGCAAATCCTCTTCAGAAACATATGTGCTGTTGAAAGTCCTGTGATATGTTCTATGTAATTGCTTTGGGTTTTTACTTTTTTTCAACTGATTTTATAAAGAAACCGTGAAAAATAAAACAAGGTGAATGACTTCCAGCTTGTGTATGTTTCCGAAACAGCATGCTACATGGGATCTCCAATCTTACAACTCATCAAAGCTGCAGGAGCAGACAAGACAAAACCACACACTGCTACAAAGACATAACTCGTTAAGGTGGGGGCGACAGTAATAAATGTGTTTGTTTTTAATACAGTTGAAAAACAGCCTTGGGTCTGGATGTTGAACACTCTGAGGTGTTTTGGATTGGGGGATTTGATCTGGCCGCTACCAAAGCTACGGCCACACTCAAACTTCAATCTGGATCTAAATTCAAATTATAACAACCTTCCTAAATTCAGGTATGTTTAAATCTTGAGTCTAGTTTAGGGCAGTCTCTAGTTCATAGGCAGTGTGCTAGGGGCTGTCAGACCTACTTAACTTTGAAAGGCAGAGCTCGTAAGAGTGATGGGTGAACTGGCTGGACTTCTGCAACAGATCTGAGCAGAACCCTTTAGATCTTCCTTTCTACTTCTTCAATGGATAAGCCTCTGGTCTGTGACTTGGGAGAATGAGGTTGGCTTCCCAGCCCTGCCACAGACTTCCTTTTCCCTCCCCCCGGTGTCCCCTGTTTCTTTCCATTCTTCTACTTGTAGACAAGATTCCTCCTCCCTGCCTCCAGATTTCTGAGAGCCTCTTTTCCCAGCTCTCCCTGTACCCATCCCTTATCTCTCCCATGGTTCCTGGCCTTGCTTCATCAGAGTCCCCCATGCCTGGGGCCCACTCTTCCCCCCGCCCCGTCCTCTCTCCACAAGCTACCTCCTCCTGTATCCTCTCCCAGTTCTCTTGTGCCGGCCCCCATCTCCCTTCCCCACCACAGGTCCCTTCTGTCTTGTACTCCTAGTTCATCCCATCCCCACCAAAGATCAACACCCCACCAAGTTCTACTGGTGCCCCCCAAAAGTTCCTTTCCTTCTAGGAGTCCTTTCTTCCCACCCACCCTGCAGCTACCTGTCTCCTAAAGGGTGGAGAAGCTGCTGGTGGTGGCTGACTGCTTCTTGACTGGCCCAGCTCCCTCCTGTGGGGACAGATGCCAGGCTACCTCTGCCTCACTAGCTCTTGGCTCCTTTGGAAGTGCATGGAAAGAGCTGGGCTAGCTGAAGAGAAGCTCTCTGCTAACCGTCTGCCTAACCAGGAGTGGGGTGGGACGGCCCTTGCTGGCAGGATGCTGCAGTGAGATTCCTGCTGAGGCCAGGAAGTGAACCGCTATTAGCCAGCTAGCCAGAGGGAGGAGAGCCTAAGGCTCAAAGCAGCCACCTCAACTGCACTCCCCATCCCACCCTTCTTAAGCAAGCCGAAAGCTGGGGAAATATTAGGGTGGGGAGAGGGGTAATTTCACCCATCCCCCTGCTTATGATAATACCTCTGGACCCAAGAGTCAATCTGGGGTTGGATATCTCAACTGAACCCAAACTTGCCTCTCCTTAAACTCGCCTGCTACTAATACCTTGAGCAAAACCAGTTTTGCTAAACTTCAAGAACTACTGGAGTGTCTAAAGTATCGACCGAGACACGGGGGAAATATTTACCGAGCTCATTACAGACTTAATGAGCCAAACTTCAGGTAGATGAAATGCACAGTGTCCAAGTTTACTAGGCAAGCCAGAAAGAGGCAGAGGAAGTTTTTATTTCAGTAAGTAATTATTTCTGAGCACCCATCGGCACCTCTCCTATCCCCCCGCGGGGAATGTCTCGCTGTAGCTGTGATAAGACTGGAATCTTCAAAACACTCAATCAATGCCTTCGTTGAAATGACTATTTATTTTATGATGGAGCTTGGCATTTCTATGGCATTCTATGCGTTCAGCCCCCTGGATGAACAGTCTGTGTTCAACCTGTCTAAGATGGGTAAATGTTGCTATTTCTCACCTGGAGAAACTGAGATGATGTGACTCTGAGATGGGGGATGTAACTTGCCATGGTCTCACAGTGAGTCATTGTTAACCGATCCCGAGTGCATGCTAACTCCTCATCCTGAGCGTGGTACTCCAGAGGGCACGGTCTGAACTCTCATTTTCCTCTGTGTTGCATTTTGCTGGTTCTCTTATGGCCTCTGGGGGCTACCCTGGAGATGGCGCATTGACTGACTTTGGAGAAGATTAAAGAGCTGGTCTCCAAAGCAAGCTTCTGAAGAGTTTCCTCAGAGCCCAGGCAATGTACTGTATCTCTGCGGCACAGCAAAGCCAGTCTCCAGTTGGACAGACTGCAGCATGGCCTGGTTCTAGACATGCCCAGGTTTGCAGTAGTTCAGGGTAAAAAGACTGGATTACGGTGTGACGTCCCCTTGGGAGGAGGAAGCTTGCAACAGCCTGTCTGCAGTGTCACAGGTACTGGAGCTAGTGGATACTGACCTCTGTGACATGAGGGGAGTACTAATCTTTTTATATCCGTGATCCACACTGGGTAGCAAGAGCTGGGGGGGGGGGTTCAAACTCTTAACAGCATTGCTGTGTGCCTCTCCTGTATGGCATACTGTAACAATAATGCCTAGCTCTGTCATAGCACTTTTCATCAGTAGATTTCAAAGTGCTACCCAAACTAGGGATTGTGAATCTTCACCACCCCCCTGTGAGGCTGGGCAGCTCTATTATCCCCATTGTACAGATGGGGAACTGAAGCACGGAGATGCAAAGTGACTCACCGAAGGTCCCACGGTCTGCGGTGGAGCAGGGACTCATATCCAGATCTCCCAAGTGTAGCTTCAGTATTAATTGGGGTTGCAAATGCACTTGTTGCTAATAACAGGTTTGTTCTTTGGTGGCTGCATAGAGATTAATGAAGACACGCAGAGACTGAGTTTTATTAATACCACCATCAATATAAGCAAAATTACAGAACTAGAAAAACAATATGAGAATAACAGCAGAGACGGTATCCCTTATACTCACGAATCTGGGGGGCTGTGGGTTCCCTTTCAAGTGAGATTAAGCACGAAGGTGGATTCCCTTTTATCCCCACCTATTTCTGAGAACATATTTAATGAAGTCGTGGCCTCTTGTCCATATTTGTCATTCCTGCTACCCATTTTGGGGGTTGACAATTGTCCTGAGCATTTGCTCAGCTGGGAAGGTACTCTGAGCAATGTGGTTAAGGAAGTCTTTGCTGATTGGTTAACTGCCTTGAGGTGTTAGTGGTGGTGTTGGCGGCCAGGGCCGGTTCCAGGCACCAGACGAGAAAGCACGTGCCTGGGGCGGCACATTGTAAGGGGCGGCATTCTGGCCAATTTTGGGGGCAGCCAGCCCAGCCCTGCAGGGGCACGAACTAGCGATCCCCGCCGCTCACTGTGCTGCCGGGCTCCCCGGGACGCGCCACTCCCCGCCGCCTGCACTGGCCTCCGCCTCCTGCGCCGCTCTGAGCCCGGCCCGGCCGAGCTGCGTTTAAAGGAGTGGCTGAGCCAGCACCTCCTGCAGCCCCCAGGGGCTCTACCTGCCTGGCTGGGAGAGGCATCCCAAGGCCGGAGGGCTGCCCACGGGCTGCCCTTCACCCCCCTGCAAGCCACCTTGACCGCCCTCGACGCGCTCCCTGGGGCTGCCGTTTTTTTGTTTTGTTTTTTGTTTTGCTTTGGCAATCCGGCCGGCTTTTTTTTTTGCCTGGGGCGGCAAAAAAGCTAGAGTCGGCCCTGTTGGCGGCAGATGGAGTCCCCCTAGAGTGTTTCTGGCCCTTTCTTTGCAAGTTCCCAGAGGCTGCTTCTGAGGGCTCTGATACATAAGGCTCTGTCTCATCACCTCACCTGCTCAAGGTGTGTGTGAGGCAGCTAGACGGATTATCCAGGAAGCACAAGATCAGTGGTCCGGAGGGCTGATAGACTCCACCAAGCCTTGTTTGTCCCAGCCCCCAGCAATCTAATGTAATGTTTCTCCCCCTCATTTCTGCAGTACTTATTAAATCTGGGCTTCTGACCCAGTACTTCTGACCCAGTACATTCCGGTACTTGACATGCAGCTGTCTAGCAAGTTCCCTTGTGTCCTCTATGTTCAGGAAGGTCAAACGAGGACTCAGCCACCTACATGGTAAGAATAATCCTGCTGTTTTCAAGGCTATGTCAGAAATCTTAGCCGTCAGATCTGCAAACGTATTGTGTATCAGGCACTAGCTTAATGCACAGAATAACATTCATGACAGTCCTGTTACTCCAGATAGGCTTGTAAATCACTTGAGTGTCCTCACTCTCACTGAAAGTTAGCGAGGCTGAGGCACCTACATTACTTAGGTTCTTTGGAAAACTTTACCCAGACTTGTTGGGTGGCTTCCCTGTGGTACAGGCACCAGAGCTGCCTCAGACATCTGATAATCTGAACTGGAGGATTGACTGGCGCTTAATCGCTTCGCTTTTGGCATGTTTGAAATCACATCTCATGAACCTCTTGATTAGCTGCCTTCTGGCAAAATTGAAGCATGAAGGCTTTAAATCATCTGTGAGCTGACCTGTCATGTGTCCAACTCCTGTTGTGTCCGATTTCACCCTGTAAACTCTTAGAGCTTGAGCAAAGATCACTAACTTTAAAAGTTGACTAAATATCCATAATTACTCTGCAGCAACTCAGATCGGCTTACCGCAGCATCAGCGGGGTATCAGGGAGCTGGTTCTGGCCATAATTTCTTTGCTTAGCTTGGTTCTAAACTTGGTAAAAGTTAGAGCAGCCTAGAGGCTTCTCTAGTCTGCACCAGCTGGCAGTGGTTCTTGGCAGGACTGTCTGCCAGCTGACAATAGCCAGAGTGCAGCAGTGCCCTGGCCATGGCCCTGCCACCAGCAGCACATCCCTTACACCTGGGCCAGGTGCAGGGGTGGCTTAAGAATTGGCCAGACCAGCTTTACATGGACAAAAAAATCCCCATGCCAGGGGAATTCTCTGCTGCCCAAATGGGACCAGAATGTGGACCCTTTGTCTCAGGAGTAGTGCAAAGGGGCTGGATTAGGTCTGATCCAGTGGCTTTAAACTGAAGAGCAAAGGCTAGAAGCAAACTGATATAACTGGACGTGGAGCTTGTTAGGAGCTGTATTTCTGATGCTCCCTGATGTCTCTAATTTGGTCGCAGACTTGTGGAGAAGTATTGCAGACAGTACTCCTTTGATGAAGAAATCCCACAAGCAGTAGAAAGCCTAACAAATATTTGCCATTAGATCAATCCTTTCTGTTTAAAGTGCAATGTTTGTAGTTAAACTCTGACACCAGAAGGTCAGGTGGAGTATCAAGGTTGCAGTATATAAAGGCAGAGAAATATATGCTGGAAAGCTGATGGGAAGAGTTCGCTGCTTCGAGGGGAAAAGTTAGGTTTTCCAGAAGAGAAACCATGAAGACCTTATTCATTTTTGCCCTTGTGATGAGTGTTTGGTCTTGTTCTGGTAAGTTCCTCTAAACAGGAAGAGCATCCATTCTTGCTGGATGAATGACCAATGCTTGTTTTAATGGGCCTGTGATATGTTTGCGTCAGGGTTGCCGGTGTATGACTATGAACCATCCATCATGGAAGAAGCTCTGCGTGCCTCCATTGGAAGAGTGAATTCTAGATCACAATGGCCAGCCCTGTTTGGCATTGTCAGGAGCTACGTTAGAGGGGTGAGTGTGGAGCTGGTCAAAAGAATGTCACTGACATGTTTGTGGTTGGGAAAAACCAGGAAATGTCAACCAATTTTCTTTTGGTTTGGAATGCACTAATTTTCTTCCCAAAAAAAAGTCAACATTCTTGGTTTTCAAAAACTAAAATCATGGTTTTTGGAAAACCAAAATGTTGTCGGTTTTCAGCTTTTCATTCGCCATAAAAAACGTGGTTTTTTTTTTTGAGGGACACTTCAAGGAAAAACAATGTTTTCAAAATCTTCCATGGAAAAATAATTGGCATTTTCATTTAGCTCTAGAAAAGTGCTCTCCAGTTTTGGGTGCATTGTAATGTGGCTCAGTTAAATGTTTCTTGGCCAGCATTTATAATATTTAGTAGATGCACTTGTCCTTATCACTTATGGTCACCATTCATGCAGTCTAAACATAGACTCATAGACTCTAAGGTCAGAAGGGACCATTATGATCATCTAGTCTGACCTCCCGCATGATGCGGGCCACAAAAGCTGACCCACCCACTCCTGGAATAATTCTCTCCCTTGACTCAGCTGTTGAAGTCCCCAAATCATGATTTAAATACTTCAAATCGCAGAGAATCCTCCAGCAAGCGACCCCTGCCCCATGCTGCGGAGGAAGGCGAAAAACCTCCAGGGCCTCTGCCAATGTACCCTGGAGGAAAATTCCTCCCCGACCCCAAATATGGCGATCAGCTGAACCCTGAGCATGCGGGCAAGATTCTCTAGCCAAACCCTCTGGAAAAAGTTCTCTGTAGTAACTTTTAATATCCCATCATTAACCATTGTTACTAATTACCAGCGATGGCACGTTATTGACGTATTGACTAAAATCACTTTATCCCATCAAACCATCCCCTCCATAATCTTATCAAGCTTAATCTTAAAGCCAGAGAGGTCTTTTCGCCCCCACTGTTTCCCTTGGAAGGCTGTTCCAAAACTTCACCCCTCTGATGGTTAGAAACTGTCGTCCAAGCCTAAATTTCCCGAC